CCCCCCCAACTCAAGCATCCAAAACCATGTTTATCAACCCCCATTTGTCATTCGTGCAACTACTTACAGGGTCTTAAAATAATAATAATAACAATAAATAGCATTTGTATAGTGCAAATTCCAGTATAACAGCAAAATCAAGGCGCTTTACAATCAATATTATTACCAGCAGACCCGATAGCATTCTGAAACAATCTCAACTATCTGAGAAGCTTTCACTGCCCACAGCCAATTTACAGATGCTAAAACTGGAACATATTGGTAAGATCTTTAGCTGTCTATGGCCGGGTACCCATTCACACCTGGGGGAAGTGAGAAAAATTTGTTTGTTGTTATTGATCCAGCAACAGCTGGGCTCTCGCCCTTCTGTTCAGAAAATTTGTGTAAAGAGCCTTTTCTAAGGACACAATATCAGGCCTCAGCCGTGAACCCACGACCCTGCAACCTCATGATTACAAGTCCAGTAGCCTAACAACTAGACTACCGACACCACATCTTAAACCTAATAACAACATTTCTCCATAAGTCTCACCTTTAAAGCCATACTGTGCACTGACGTTGAGAGCAGTAGTCTTTGCCCGGTTCTGAGAATTCACTTTGGCCTCGGCTTTCAGCAAAGCACGCACCACATCTCCTTTTCCTTTCCGGGCAGCAATGAGGAGTGCCGTGTTCCCCCTCTCGTGTTCCATCAACTCAGTATCTGCATTGTGATGCAACAGATAATGGACAATTTCCACATGCCCGTTGTTGCAGCTCAACATCAGCGGTGAAAAGCCCATACTGTTCACGGTGTTGACATCCGCTTTGTACTCAAGCAGCAGACGAACCGCTTTCTGGTGTCCATTGGCGCTGCATGTACTCAAAGCTGTGTTACCCTTGTGATCATGAGCTTCGATATTAGCTCCATTCTGTAACAACACTTCCATACAGCTGCAGTAACCGAACTGTGTGCTAAACATGAGCGGAGTCCAGCCCTGACTCTCTGGTTGATTCACACTGGCTTTGTTATCAACCAAAAATTTTACCAGCTCTGCATCTCCTTTATGAGCGGCCATCATGAGGACAGTCCTCTGCTTAGCATCCACCAAATCGACACGAGCGCCGTTTTCCACCAGTGCCTCCACAATGAGACGGTGTCCGTTCAGAGCAGCTGTGTGGATCGGGCATTCCCCCTCACAGCCGACTACATCAATCTTTGCTCCATGCTGCAAAAGGTGATCAACCACCTCTGTCTGTCCATTATTTGCACTGATGGCCAGAGCCGTATGGTTATTGCAGTTCCGTAAGTTCACGTTAGCACCACGGCTGATCAGTAACTCCACAATACAAACATGGCCTTTTTTAGCAGCTTCGTACAAAGGAGTATCCCCGTCTTCATCTCGAACATTCACAGCAAATCCCTCATCTAGCAAAAGCGCCACGCAGTCATACCGTCCATTTGCAGCAGCAATATTGAGAGCTGTAGAGCCCGTCTTGGTACGGGTGTGCTTGTCCACCCCATGTTCAAACAGTATACTGACGATGGATGTATAGCCAAATTGAGCTGCCAACATCAACGCATTCCAACCTTTCTCCTCCACGCAATTCACCTTGGCCTTCTCCCGAAGCAGCAGCTCTACAATGTCCTTGTTGCCACTGTACGCTGCATCCATGAGAGCAGTGCGTCCCTTCAAATCCGATAAGCTAATGTCCGCATTCATGCGCAACAGAGCCTGGACTATTTCGAGGTGACCTTTAGCTGAGGCAAGCATAAGAGGTGTGTCTCCATCGGTGTCAGCAGTGTTTACGTCTGCTCCAGCTTTCAAGAACAGAAGAACATCAAAGAGATGTCCCTCAAAAGCAGCAATACCAAGAGGAGAGCGGCCATCTTTGCAACAAAGATTAACATTAGCTCCATGTTCGATGAGCAAAGATGAGATTTCTCTCTGGCCACCCATAGCTGCTTTGTGCAAGACAGTGATCCCCTTACGGGACTTGAAGTTGATGGACGGGTACGGCTTTTGTTGGTGATTGAGCAGCGCACGGACTATGTGCTTGTGTTTGTTCTGGACAGCCATGTTCAGAGCATTAATGCATTCAAAGTCAAACATGAGGGCATCAGCTCCATTTTCTAAAAGAATCTCCACAATACCAGTGTGTCCTTTTAGGGCAGCGCACATGAGAGGTGTATCACCATCAGTATCAGCGATGTTGGGGTCAGCCCCTGCTTTCACCAAGGCTTCAACAATGTTCCTGTAACCATCAAGAGCAGAAACAAAAAGAGCTGTGCGTCCATTTTTATCTGCAGCATTCACATGGGCACCATACTTGATCAACTTCCGAACTGTCAAAGCCTCACCATGAGCAGCTGCCATGATTAAAGGTGTGATGCCAATCTTATTCACGTGATTCACATCTGCCCCAGCTTTCTTGAGAATCTTCACATTCTCCAAGTGGCCATGGCCAGCACAAATCTCCAAGGCCGTCCCACCAGAGATTTGAGTTAGGTTCACGTCAGCACCATTGTCCACAAGCAGCTGAATTGTCTCTGGATTTCCGTACTGACCACACATCATGATGGGTGTCCAGTTACGCACGTTTGTGGAATTTACATCTGCCCTTATTCGGATCAACAAACGCATAACATCAGTCATACCTTCATGAGCAGCCGTGAGAATTGCATTGTCTCCTTTATTGTTTCTTTTCTCAATGTCTGCATTCCTGTCCAACAAGTCTCTGACCAGGTTCTCCTTGCCGGCGGCAATAGCTGTGACAATTACACTGTTACCTTGGTAGTCCTGTATGTTCACGTCTGCGCCATGCTCCATCAATAGTTGAGCCACGTCTTCTTGGCCAGCAGCACACGCCATCATGAGGGCAGTGTGACCGCGGCCGTTCTGTCCATCTATGTTAACCCCTGACTCCAGCAGTCTGGTTACCAGTGACAGTCGTCCTAATGTTGCACAAATCATGAGAGGTGTCGCCCCACACGACGGATCTTCTTCATCCATAGACGCATGCGTACGTTCTCGAAGTTTCTGCCAAAGTTCCTCATCTTTCACAGTTTTATCCTTCCCCACAAGCTTCTTTAAAAACTCTTTGCTTTTATCACTAGGTTTTTGTCTTTTTCCTCTTTGTGCAGACCCACCACCTCCAGACTGCGAAGCCAGTCTTTCCATCTGCTGCATGAGATCAGACATTAAGTCTTGTCCCTGCCCAAGACCACCTTTCTTCAATGCCTCAGCAATATCTCCATCAAACCCCAATTTCCCTGCCATTTCCGCTGCATCTCTTGCAGCCTTCTCGGCTGCCTTCTGCATGTCATTGCCCATTTCGACTGATGTTCACAATATTCAGCACACTTTAGTTTAAGATTCTTTAATGGGCACAATACACTTTGAGAAAATTCTCCAATGTTCAAGAATCACTTTTAGGAATAATTCTAGCAGCAAAATATCTTTTGGTCTGTTACACAAGTTTAAGCTGCAGACCACCAATAAACTCCATGGGACAAAGGTTATGGATGTAGTTCCGTGTCATAAAAGTACTTAGAGAGAGAAGTGTTTGTCTACACACTGTGCTATTAGTACAAATTGTCTATTGCCCAGGCTTTTAAAGCGTGTACAATGAAACAGACGTTGAAAAAGCTTTCTTGACCCTCGATATCGAAATGTGGAATAAAAGTGGCCATCAGTTACAACAAGCAGCCTTAAGGATACAGAATTATTTCAAATGTTATTGATAGAGGATTTCCATCATTTAATGAGATGTTCAATATAATGTTCCTGCTCTGGTCCGCTTCATCTCTTGGAGGTGTGTAGCTTGGCTGTGGTCAAGGATCTCCACAAAAGTATAATGTTTTCACTGCGTCTCAGGAAAACGACCTTCATACAGACATCCACAAAGGAAGCCTCTGCTTTGTTCAGTTCCTAAAGTGAGGAAATGAAAGAAGATATTATCAAAAGATATACAGGAGGGTTTGGATGGATAGATGAGTATAAAAAAGGATAGATGAGTATAAAAAAGGATGAAAGAACTGAAAATAAGCTTACTCACTTCTGGAAGAAAAGGCTACACCAGACAAGGTACAATTTTTAGTTTAAGTAGAGGTTTTACGCCGCTCGAAACTGCATAAGGTCATATGAGCGCCAGAAGATTAGAGGTGTTACAAAAGAGAAAAAAACATAAAAAAGAAGAAGGGGAGATAAGGAAGATAGATTTTCCATAGAAGAGAAGAAGCAGCAGCAGCAAAGAAGCAAACCGCACCATAGCATCCGCCAACCACCCACCAAAGTATAATTTAATTCCAATACAAAAATTTGGGGTTTTTTTTTCTGAATCAAAGCTCCATAAAAAGCTCATGAACAGTGTCTTAACTCTTTCCAGGTGCAGTTTTTTGGGGGTCAAGACGTAATTAACTTGTGGCTCGATTTGGCTACACAGGTGGTGTACAAAATAAATTTATATAAAAGCATAACCATCACTCAAAGGCAACATATGATTTATAAAATTGAAGAAAATTGAATGAAGAATACATTCCAACATGAAACAAGGATTAATTTTGAACATAAGTATGCATTACAAGGGTTAGAATGGCAATGGTGATGAGAAAAATAAATTTTGATGGAAAAATCACCAAACATGTGAAAGCAAATCAGCATAGCTATCTAATCATATCCAGGCCAAGAGCATAATCCATAAATTTCTAAAAGCGCAGCTTTTTATTTGAAAGCAATATTCAAATTTTTGTTTGAATTATGATATTTATACTGAGTCCAGTTACATTGTTTTGTTGATGCAAGACCACAAGAGCTAATTCACTCGTTTTTCGCCAAACCGACCCTTTGACAAAGTGAAACTAGATGTTTTGTTTCCTAAATCCTTTCCAACTTTTCAATAACAATAAAAAATAATTATAAATGACGGATCATGTTAATACTTTGATACTGAGGCATCCTATCACCGCCAATATATCGGCGATACGTTCGCAAGGGGTATGGACTCGCCCCTATATCGGCGATACGTCCGGAAAGAGTTAAACAAAGTGCAGAAATTCTTTAACTCAGAATATGTCTGCCTGGAATTTACAAAATAGGTATCTTTCTTTCTACAATGGTGTAAATCATTCCACCCCCCCCCCCAAAAAAAAAAACAACAACAATCAAAATCACACAGTTGAAATGCACTCCCCCTCCTCCATCTTCCCCCCTCTTCTAACTACTACAACTACAATAACTACATTTTCAGTATGTCTACTGCTACTACTATTTCTCCTCCTCCTTCAACTACTACAATTACAATTGTGAGGCATCGTGACGAAATCAGGCACTCATCAAAATAATGAAATCAAAGAAAATGGCACTTTTCTTCCTGTTTGGCAATTTTCATCGAATGTTTATTTTTTTTATTCAACACCTTTTATGTCTATTTAAAAATACATTGCTGTGTGGATTTTACGGGAAAACAATGATTAAAGCTCACAAAAATTTAATTTACAAATCCCAAGGACTCTCAAGCTTTGCAAGTCATCAAACTTTGGTGACTATTTTCTCGTTCATTTTACACCTAAAACCAGGTGACCCCCACTTCCTTCAATCTGACATATCTCGATTTCTGTTGAAGCTAGATCGCTAATTCTTTTATTGAAAGGAAGGCAAATGTAAAAGCTTTAAGACAATACTAAAAACTCCATATGCCCAAAAATTGACAAGTGCCTGATTAAAGCGTGCCGTGACACGATTTCATTTTGCACTATTTCTACTACTACTACCATGAACCTCTTTCTTCTCCTAATCCTTCTCCCTCTCCTTCTCCAATTACTACAACTACAATAACCACATTTTGCATTATTTATACTGAACTTCCTCCCCCTTCTCCTCCAACTACTACAATTCGATTGACAGTACATTATGTGCACTCGTTATAATGAATTAGCTGAAAGTTTAAAAAAAGTTTTAGTAGAGGTTTTACGGGGCTCACAACTGCATAAGGTCATATCAGCGCCAAGGGGTGGATGTCAACAGAGATGCCCTTACAGGGAATCAGACTTACTCTGCTCACCTCTCTAGCTTCAACAGCACAAAGTCTGCTTCGACTATCAAGGCAACCTGGAAATAGTGAGTGACATTGATGAATCAGCCCATTTGCAATTCTACTGCGCATGAACGAGAAATGACCCCCCTTTGGGAATGGCCTAAAGACACTTCAGTCAGTGGCTTCGCCGTTGGGGGTAATTAGCTGGAAGCCTATCCCTTTATTTAAACCTTTTGTCATATCTTATCATGTTTATATGTGACAGATCAGACTGAGGCCTGATCAGGTGGTATGGAGTATTTTTTTCAATTTACAACTTTATCATGAGAGCTCCAGCATCTACAGCACTGTTGTACTGTACATTGAGTTCAGCAAACAGAATCAGAAATGCCTTACCTCGCAGGCATCTCAAGATCAAGCTCAAAAGCATTTTATACAGTCTAACCTGTCCAAGGCAAAATCGCAAGGCAGCCCAAAAAAAATTCTGTCTTTGACAGGAGGGGAATTTATGGGAAGAACTAGGTTTCCACACTCAGTCTCACCCATCAGTGTAATAAGCACTTACAATTATATTTTTAACAAATGACACCCCTCCCAGACAGGTATAACAACAATTTGAGGGACATTTTTCTCAGATGGCCATATGATCAGCGTGGCACGCATTGGTCAAACATATTTGTTTCACACCTCTGGATACCTAAGAAAAGTTTCTGGCTGGAGCACCACTTGATTTCTTTCACAAGCAGTCGTTCTAGACTTCACATCCGCATCACCCAGACCACCTGCTCACGGCTCACATCGATGAGATTACAAGCTACTCCCAATGCCACACCCCTTTTTCTCTTCCTCGCCTGGAGGCATGGCAGAAAGTTTAGAACTGATGGAACCAAACTTGGCAATTTTGATTCAAATCAGGGCTGAACGGGCAAAGCATTTTAATTCTGCCTTGGACGGGTCAAAACCCTCCAAAGGGAAGGAATTTCGCCTTTTGTTTCTGGATTGACCTGGGTTCAGAATCAACCGTTGAACACATGAAATACTGAACTTATAAATGCTGAAAACTGGCTTGCTGTTTTATTCCTTCAGAGCCTTATAATCCTCCCTAAAGCTATACTTACCCCAAATACCGTCAGTTGTATCAATATGCACAGGTTCATATAATAAAATTGTAGTCTTTTTCGATTAGGTGCTGGCAGACAGTGCAGAGAACACCATCAAAATAAGGGCCTAATATAATTGTGAGGCATCAAGGTGAAATCAGGCGCATAGTCAAAATAATGAAAGTGAAGAAACTGGCATTTTTTCGCAGGTTTGAGAATTTTATAGAATTTTTAAAAAAAATTTTTATCAACACCTTTCATGCCCATTAAAGAACACATTTCAGAGTGGATTATTACTGAAAAACATTGATTAAAGGCATAAAAGATGTAAATTTTCAGTTTCCTTTTACTCTCAATATACAGAAATAATGCAACTTTAAATAAGGAAGGTGGCCATTTTCTCGCTAATTTTACCTCTGAAACCAGGCAACCCCCACCTCCTTCAATCACCTTATAGATCTAGATTCTAAATCTATCTTGATTTGTATTCAAGATAAATAAATGAATATTTTTTCATCCAAAGCAAGACAAATGAACAAATTTTAAGAAAATCTAGATCTAGATCTAGAATCTCTAATAACTAACTATGCCCCAAAATTGACGAGAACCTGATTCCACCGCATCGTAACACAATTAGATCTAGATCTAGATATAGATATAGATTTAGATCTACACTTAGATCAAGATCTAGATATAGATCTAGATTAAGTCTAGATTCTAGATCTAAATATAGATCTAGATCTAGATTCTAATGTAAACATCTAACAACTTTTTGTCATTCAACCCTAGATAGATTCTAGATTTAGAAGTTATTACAGAATCATCAGTCTTTGAAATATATATAGAAGTCTATATCAAATCAGTCTTTTGTAGCATTCTGAAAATGTATCAACTACAGGCCTATGGCTTAGGTCAATCTCGAAGAGCCAACCCAAAACTGAAAATAACGACCAGGATTCTCCTCTATTCACAAAACATTGAAAAAGTGATACATCATCCAGTTTAGTTTTGCAGAGATTCTAGAATCTAGATATAGATCTAGATCTAGTTTTAAGTCAAGTCTTAAGTCTTGGGTTTTTCTTATATTATCCGTTTCCACAGATTTAAGACACACAAAATAACGCGTATAGCCTAGATCTATCTAGTACTAACTTCAAGCCACTCTGTTGTAAAATCGAATTCTCAGGTGATTTCCTTTGTGAATACATGTACATATGTACGTTCAAGACATAAAAGGCATTTTTGCCCTCTCGCTGGGCTTCCCAAATGAAGACAAAATTGCAAGCAGGATGAGAATGACTGCATCTTGGGAATTTCCGGTGTCGAGTTGACTGCTGACCGACCCCAGAATTCTACGCTGCTGACATTAGTTGCAACGGGAGGAATTCCCGTTGCAAGAAAACAAAACGAAACAAAACAAAACAGAAAAGCAAAGCAATCGCGGACTGACTGGTCGTTGATAGACAGAGTAGCAGATCGATGCGGTGCAGCACGTTGCTTTCATGGTCGATGTAGTCGATAAAGATCATTTCTTTAAAAATTATCACACACAATTAAAAAGAGAAAATAATAACGGACAGTTTGATAATAAAAAGGGACGCTTTCATTAATATTTCAAAACTATTTTTAAAAAAAAACAATAATTAATTATAGGGCCAACACCTTTAATTGCTGTTCTCTAAATTTCAAATACTTAATTTGGTGGTTGCACTATATACATTATGTTTATTAATACCTTTTAGTTTTTAGTTCAAGATACATGCATCTACAAGTCCCAGATCTCGAAAACTGGGTGTCAAAAGAATAGTGTGTGTGTGTGGGGGGGGGGTGGGGGGAAATTAAAAAAATCCGAACACTTCTCCCAATCTCCCCCGAGAAAGAGGGGACGCGGGCTGGCCCGAGGAGGGGGGAGGGGGTTTCCGGGGGGGGGGGGGTCTCCCTCCTGACAAAATTTTAATGAATAGATCTACCGGTCCGAGATTCTCCATTGAAAGATATTAAAAACGGGGAAATTATGAATTCCTAAGGTTGAGACATAGGCAAAGTCAGTCCGCTGGTCTGGTATTCTTCAATCTTACCTGTGTGTGATAGAGAGAGAGAGAGAGAGAGAGAGAGAGAGAGAGAGAGAGAGAGAGAGAGAATTAATGATATTATGCAGTTTGTTGAAAATAAAATAAAAACTTATGAACTTCAACCAAAGATACTACACCATACGGCTGTACTATCTTTGCTTCAACTTTCTATTGATAGACTTGACAACGTGATCTATGTTTTCCCTTAGGCTACATATTCCCATCAATGCTGAAAAAAATGCCCCCCCCCAAATATTATGATATAAGAAAAATCAAGCTAGCCTAGGCCTATGTCATCTGAACAGCAGATCTCCACTTTACGTCAGCATAGCGTTGCTTGGTGAATATTGCGAGCCCCCCCCCCCCCCCAAAAAAAAAAAACAACAACAAACAAACAACAACACATAAAGTCTTGGAATGCTATAAATAGAATCGGAACTTCTGCTTCTGACGTAATTTTTCCGTTTCGATGAACATGATGTGACTAATCAACATAAATAGCCTGGGCATTGCCCAAAAGGACGTTTTACAACTGACATGATGACGAAGTAAGTCCTAGAACTTAATCTAGAATTAAGTGTTGCCTGCTATTCTAACCTTAAAAGGAAATACAAGCATTTTTTGTTGTTGTCATAATGGAGTTATAACTGCGATTCAGAACCAATTTATTCATAATATTCAACAACCAATACTCGTTTTCAACCACAGAATTCTACACTAGAATTCTGTGTTTTCAACCTACGAATTATAATCAATAAAAATGTTAAGGGGTTATGTACACGATACGAGGAATTTTCTAGGGGCTTGGCTTTCTTTCAAATTTTAACGGTCATATAGGCTAATTATAGACTAATTAGAAGAATCATGACGGAATTTGTCGAGTTTTATGAAAAAGTTGGTCTCAGTTGCGGCCATCTAGGATTTTTGGCCATGTTGCGGGGGAAATCGTTTTCCACAGAAAATATTAAAATTGAAACCTCAAACTTTGCACACATATTTACAAACAAATTATCTGTAATCATAGGCTCTGAATTTTTCGTATCTGTAAAAAACACAAAATATTGATATCACTGGACCAGCACCGAAAAAAACAAGTATGATGAATACTGATGAGAAAAAAATCAGGATTATTTTTAAAGTAGCCTAATCCATTATTCACAAAATCCCTGCCTATGACCACAGAACTTTTTATACAACACCTGTGTCAAAGTTTAAAAATCCATTGCCCTGAACGCGATAAATTGACTATTTTTAAAACGTTAGCACATTTTTCTGATGGAACTTATCAGGCTATTGATGGTTAATTTTCTTCTGAAGTTAGCATTCAAAAACAGGTGCACATTGTTACCTTCATTATTAATCTTTAGTCCCTGCCCTTGACCAGTTACGTAGGCTACAAATCAGAGGAATCATTAAATTAGTGACAATCCGAGAAAGCGTCAACACACAGCGCGTGCGTGCGAGTGTATCATGTACATTAATTGTACGTTATATCACTGAACTCATCTGTCGACGTCTTGCAAAGTGAAGGGAAAAACTGGTTTGTCACTTCATTCTTTTCCAAGCTAGACTATCCTTCTCTAGGAATGGTAGCTATAATACAGCATTAGATCTAGATGTGGGGTGCAGAGGGAGGGAGGGAGGGAAGGAGAGAGAGAGAGAGAGAGAGAGAGAGAGAGAGAGAGAGAGAGAGAGAGAGAGATATGGGGGTGATCGTATCGTTGGTGTGTACGAGTGTACGCTGAGAGTCTCTCTCTCTCTCTCTCTCTCTCTCTCTCCCTCTCCTCTCTTGAGATAACTTCCTCCCCTGAAAACACGCGTACACACACATCGTTGCAAAAGAAATTCTGTCGACCTCAAGCAAAGCTTTCTGGTTCACTTCTTTTCCAACCAGTGCTATCCCCCTCCCCCACCCCCGAAAAACAAAAATACACAAAACAAAGCAGCACTCCCATTTATTGTGCATGTCAAGTTCGTAGGCCCCCTATCTTTTAAATTGTATTCTTTCGCTTTTTTTTTGTCTGCATCATCAGTAAGAGTAAGAGCTTTTTATATTAAGGCACTTGCAAAACAAGGTCACTATATATAGCCAAAAATTAGAGGTGTCACTAGAAAGTAACATTCAAAAGTAGGAGGAGAGATAAAGACAATAGATTTGATAGGAAAGAAAGCCAATCACATAAGAACACCTGCTTACCACCCCATTTGATCTCTAATAGCAAATTTACCAATTGGGTGTTTAAATTGTTTGGTGCTTGTTGCCCCCCCCCCCCCCCCCCCCCCTTCCAGAAGTCTCCTTTTGAGGCCAATGCCATGTAATCATCATCATTGTCTTTCTCACCCTGGATCAGGATACAGGCCATGAACAAACACTTTGCACCTTTCACTTTCTCTATCCTGGGCTAGTCGCTTGATGTCACTCCAGCCATGTCTTCCCACTTTTCTGTACATCCATTTCCGTGACTCTTCTCCAGGTTCCATGTGCTCTTCCAATACCATGTACAACAATTGAAATCTTCGTTTTTACTATAGTGCCAATTAGTTTGGATTTTTTTGGTGTTCAATAGTTCATTCTTCTTCTTTTGTTTGTTTGTCATTAAGGGTGTTTTTAAAAAAACCTTTTATAACGTTCACTGTTGAACTAGTCATTGAGATGTTTTAAACAACAACAAAAAAGGTAAGAACTAGAACTGAGGACAGTGTTCAACAATCTAATAATCTCTCTCATCAATCTGAAACATTTAATTCACTGTTGGGATCAATCTGAGATTAGTAGTAGAACGTCTACTCCAACTCCAACTGAAATTTAAATGAGAACATATTTAATAATTATTATTATTATCTGTTGCATTGTTTGAGATGAACAGCGATGACCCAAAAATGATTGTTTGATTAATAGCGTGTGGTAAAAAGTAACCAATTTAATGAGTAGACAGAAATGACAGTGAGATTGGAGAAAAAAAAGTGTGGCCTGACTGCAGCACCTAAAAACATCGCTCACAAGAACAGAAGCAAGCAAGAGAGCTTTTCGTAGAGTACATAGTCATTGGAAAACAAACAAGTTCACTGTATAATAAGACTTTATTCACTTGTGGTACCCACAATAAAGAAGTATACAAAACATATCAATTAAAGTATTCCAAACATATGAGACGAAAGAACATAGTCAGGTATCTGGAATGGAAAAGGTTGATTACATTTTTTATTTAAACCAAAAAACAAAACAGGTAGACAATACAATGTACTTAATTACTGTGAAATGTTTGAATCCGTGTGCCTGCCATGCGCACACACACACACGCACACGCACAGACACACACATTAAAAAGACCTGGTTAACACACATCAAAAAAATATTACCCTGAACTTGCGACTCTTAAGCTACAAACTATTATTGGCCATTCACATCAGAAGGCTATGACCAGTTTGACTCACATCCTCGAAAAACAAACGCATTTCATTTTGAAGGTCACAGTGGAATTCAGTTGAACTGTGTTAAAATGGTAATGTAACTTTTACCCATCCATGATGGAAAATCTGGGTGGCCCCCAACTGAAATGTTTGTATTTAAACATATAGCTAAGTATTTCTAACCCATCTTTAGAGCTGTATGGTAGGAAGGCATCATAAATGACAGCAGTTCTTAAAACACTGTAGCTCAATTAGCGTTGTAAGTTAAAGAAATCACACTGTCATCTCTTGCCAAATCTTGCTGCCTTGATCCCATTCCAAAATCTTCTTTGGCCACCCATCTAGATAGTCTCAAAGAAGAAGTCATAACTAACATAAGTAACAGGTCATCCATTCAAGAGCCCTCCCTTCCAGTTTTGAACAAGCAATTGTAACACTCTTGTTTAAAAAAAGATGGAGCTATCATTTGTATGACAACCGAAAATCTTAAGTCCAGTTTCCAACATTTGCTTAAGTCTTACATCTCCACTTGAAGGCCCACTGTAAAGACAATAAGAAATTCAAAATATTTTAATTCAACAATACACAGACAACTCTTTCAAAAGCAAAAGATTATCCATTGTGTGATGCAAGAAAAAGAAAAGTACCGGTATTTAATCTTGCCTTATTCGTCTCCAATCAAGTGCAGCACCTGTCACCATTAACTGATCAATCAAATGTGAAGCATTGTTGTCAAATCAGGCGCTCCTCAAATTAATGAAATTGAAGAAGCCAGCATTTTCCTGCCAGTTTGGCAATTTTTATCTTTTTTTTTTTTTTGGTTCAGCACCTTTTATGTCCATGTAAAACACATTTCTGAGTGGATTTTCCAGAAAAATGTTGATTAAAGGCACACAGAGTATAAATTTGAAGTTTGCAAGGACTCTCAAGCTTTGGAAGTCACTGAACTTTCGTGGCTATTTTCTCGTTTGTTTAACTCTGAAATCAGGTTACCCCCACCTCCTTCAATGGCAAACATTTCGATTTCTATTCAATATATATGGACATGTATTTTTATCATTAAAAGCAAGAGACGGACATGTTTAACAATTACACCAATAACTCAATATGCCCAAAAATTTACGAGCGCCTGATTCCACTGTGTCATGACACATATCGTTTTCAAGACGATGAGGCAGCATTTGGCCTGTCAGGGATTGTCTTTACATGAACCAAGTCACAATTAAGTGGTCACACTCAGAGCTTATAAGTAGAATAACGTCAACTACATTTATACAACATGCTATACTCTGGACTTTGGTGTGCCCCAGGGAACTCTACTGGGGATCTCACAACTAAAAACCTTTTGAAACCAACATCACAATAAGTTAACCACAGAACCACAATGTCATGTTATATTACACTCAGTACAAGAATATAATTAATATATCATGTTCAGGAGTTGTTGGCTTGTAGGAAGCTACACACACAGAGAGAAAACAAAATTAAGTTAGTCGATACAGTTCAGACTCTTGTTTTGATTTTCATGATATAGACACGAGAGGCTTTTTATAATCTTTGGAAGTATCACAGTAGGCCTACTTACATATGATATGAACAAAGAAGATCCAAGCACATACACATACATGTAGACAGTTCAAGGCCTAGCTGACACTTTTCATTTTAAGTACAAGAAGCCACCTTCCCCCCGAAACAAACAAACAAAAAACAACAAATTTTGAAAGGCATGAAATTATGCAAGAAATATAATTTTTTTTAAAAATGCCTATTTGTATAAAAAGTTAAACCATTGTAGACATTCAAAACTGAAAATATCTCCCGAGATCAAAGTAAAAAAAGAAATTACAGAAAAAAAAAATGGAATGAATTTTTAAAATCAATACAGAATGGATTCAATAACACTATATACTCTAGAAGTCACTCTTGCACTTATGCTGCAACAGTGACATTAATCGGTAACTCAGAATTACAAAGTTTTATCTGACATTTTCGGCCGTTTTTCAGGGAATCGGGCTTACTCTGCTCACCTCTCTAGCTTCAACAGCACAAAGTTCGCTTCGACTATCAAGGCACCCCAGAAATAGAGGGTTACAAGAGATTGACAAACATATAAAGAAGTAGAGGAAAATGACAATAGGACGTTATGAGCCTGACATTGATGAATCAGCCCATTTACAATTACAATTCTACTGTGCACAAGAACATGGTTAATGTCCCCCTTTGGGAATGGCCTAAAGACACTTCAGTTAGTAGCACCGCCCTGGGGGGTTATTTCATTTTAGAAATGGGGGGCAGAAAGTGTAGATGAAAGCAGATAACAGAACATGATTAGACAGCAGGAAATGAGGAGAAAGGAGAAAATTTTACAGAAAAAAAAATTTGCCATCACTGTCAGGGGACCTATTGAATGAGAGGAGAACACCATACCTCTAGACCACGAGAGAGCGGTGCCCCCTTAACAAACACATTAAACGAGGATACACTTGCTACACATAGAGAAAATCTGAACATATTCCTTTTACACTTTGCTGCCTCATCCATCTCGCCGATTGGCAATGTTTACCACGCAGTTTCTTTGGATATTCCCCAAAATATGATGGCAAAGTGTTAAGCAATCATGTATAAAATACATGATGACAAATTGGAAGATATACAAATGCAACAATCAAGTTGTCTTGAAGTTAAAGTAAATCAACCTGTATCCTGAAAAGGCATTCTGACTTGTAATTCTGTCTCCGTCATGCAAACTGAGCCCAAAAAGTGAAATAATGCGATTCTGTTAATTTTAACAAAGAATGATTAAGGAAAATAATCAGAAATTATGCAAAAAATTATCAAATTTTGCTAAATTATGCCGTGTGCATAAATCCACGGGGACAGGTAATTGTGGTAGAACACTGAAATCATCCACACGCTCTTACTAGTATTAAGCTTCTCTAAAATGTCAGAAAGAGTGGGAGTTTAAATAAAAAGGGTAAAGTCAAGTCGTTACTAACATTGACAAAAAAATCCAAAGTAACTCTGCCAAGGAAAAACTATACATAACAGAGGGACCTCTGTGAAAATAAAGACTATCACCACATTCTTCACCATCAGCACCCTCTAGCTTTCACCAACAACAGTAAAGTAAAGAGGAGACATTACTAACACAAAAAAAAAAACATGTTACAGTACAGCTTTCTTACTCTTAAGTGAATTCCTGGTGATGAATGGGAATAGTTAATTAAGATATTTCTGACACAATCTTCGATCCCTCATTCCCGGGTTTCCCCGTTGGTTCCTGCACATGCTCTGATGGAGGTCTAAGACTGGCAAAATGATGTAACCATGTGCATCAAATTACTCAGTTACCTTTAGCAGGAGTTCTCTTGGAGCAAAAGCCAGCACTGAACACATCATCAAGAGATAATTTCATAGACCCATAGTCTGTCTGTTTAGGCCTATCTTAACCCCTATTCTGCTAATTTTGAAGGTTGGGACAAAGTTAAAAGTTTTCAAGGCATATTTTTCTAGCAGATCATGAAAAAATGGAAAAATAGAAATTTTAGTGAGACTCTGACTTCTCGAGTGTGAATCGAAAGTGTTGCCCAATAAATCTGCCAAACAAGTCGCCCCATGCCTGATGGTACAAAGTGAACCTAAACAAATGTATGGAAACATTTAGAGAAATAAGAAACAAACTTTTAAAACGAGAGAAAACAGAAAAGGGAGACATTCAACATTGAAGAAAATTCCCTCTATTATCAAAACTGTTCCAGGATGTTAGCATGGAGATTTTACCTTACAAAAAACAAAAATAACAATAACTCCAATAAAAAAAAACCTACATTTGAGACAGAAAAGCTTTGCTGCAGAAAGGCACAAGTCATAGCCACAGACACCCAACACGTCCATTGGGAGGTGGCCAAATCCAGTGAGCACCGATGGGTAGTCAGAAACAAGTTGTGGAGAGCAAGCCTCAGATATAGCAGAACTAAGACTAAAGTGATCTTCTCTGACGATCTAGATCTACACTTATGACAAACGACAGATATGAAATCCTTAATGAATGATAAATCGCTACCACAGAATTACAAAGTTCTATCTGACATTTTTGGCTGTTTTGAGTTGCTAAGACCAAGAGGTCTGAAACCAAATGCTTTATCTGCTCTATCAACACAGATTATTCAGATCGTTATCAAGATATATCAAAGAATTGCACTCAAAAAAGTTTGACATGGGAAACTCAAAATTTGTTACGGCAAATTTCTTAAAACTAGTAGCCTACTAGGTACTGAGCACAAAGAACTTTGTATAATCTGGGATAGCGAAATGTTGAGTGGCTTCTAGTAGAAACATTGCCTGTCTTGCAATTTATCAAAATATCAGCAGAGAAAAGAGCATTAAAACAAGTCTCATTTTGGTTAAAATGGTTTCTGAAGACCTTTCACAGGGTGACTGCCGGGCCCCGGGATAGGGAATCTGCCGGGTAAATTGATAAAACTGAATTTGACCCGAGAATATGTCGTGAAAACCGTTGGTGACCCGGGAAAAATATTATTTCACATTTTTTCTGCCGGAACTGCAAATTTTTTTTCGAATGATGAAGTTCGAGCTTCCATTTTCGGTCGCACTGGGTTTTTTCGTACTCGATCCGATTGATATCATTCTGTATCGGCAATCTATGCCTTGTATTCATTCATTTTGTACTATTTAAAGTCAACAAATATGATATCGATATGGGAATCGAATGTTGTGTGGAAGATCGCACAACTCGCACGTACGATTGTCACCTCACTCGATCGTTGGCTCGACCCTAAAACAAAGAATTGAGGATGCCTTCGGTAGTATTAAAAGCCTCCAGTCATTCGAGCTGCCTGACACGCTTCCCATTGCTTTTCTCGTGTGATGAACCATGTGATCAGTATCTTGATCTAGTTGTTAAGAGAGGACCTTTCTTCTCACATGTGCATCGACCTGCATTTGTTTTTCCCAAGTCTAAGTCTAGAGATTCTACATTGCATTTATCTCATAACAAGGTAAGTGTACTACTACTACTATTGTTGGCACTGTTGTTACTTTGTTTTGGTTTAGTGTAACAGGGTCATGCCCCCTTTCTCTAGTGCTAGATTCAGGTCTAGATCTAGATCTATCGTTCCTATTCGAATTTGAAGTTAAATCTCCATCATCACCTCTATTGTCCAAGTCCATGCTTTCATCACTACTACACTGCTCTCAAAGTCATGATCAAGATCTCCTTCATAATCGGATAGGTCTTCAAGCACTTCTTGTGTGGTAAAGAGTTGAGACCTAGCCCTTTTTCCTGTCGAAGTGCTTGGCTCATTGGCTCAACAGCACGTCTCTTCATGGCGATAAAAATCCAAAATTTAGAAGACAAACAACACTGCAGTCCAACCTCATGGAGTCTACCATTTACAATGATCAATTCTCACACTAAATGCGGAGTTTAGAGCTGATTGGCTTGCTATTTTCAAATATGACGTGATTTTATGACGCGGCCTCTCAATTACCGGTCAAGCGGTAATCCGGCATAATTGATGTTTTGAGTATTCCCGACGGTCTGACAGGGTTAAAGCAAAGAGCTGTTATTGAGTTCCTTACTGCAGAGGGAGCTGCACCCATTGATATTGACAGGCGAATGAAGCTTGTCTAAAAGGAAGCATGTGTAGATATGTAATTTCTGTTCAAAGACGGGCAAAGGAGTTCGCTGAAACCAGTCCAGCAGAGACAGATTTGCATGACCAAGCTCGTTGTGGTCGTCCCAACTCTGCCAGTGATGTTCAACATCAGGAGAGAGTGGATGAGATCATCCAAGCAAACCGGAGGATAAAAGTGAGAGATGTCAGTGAAATTTTAGGGATTTCTGTAGGGAGTGCTCACTATATTATCCATGATGTGTTGGGTTACAGGACAATGTGTGCACGGTGGGTTCCCCACATGTTGTCACCCGAGCTGAAACTGAACCGAAGACAAGTTATTGATGAACTCCTGGCTCGTTATACTGATAAAGGTGAAGCTTTCTTACACCGTATAGTCACAGGAGATGAGACTTGGGTACACCATTATGACCCAGAGAACAAAAGACAATCGAAAGAATACAGGCCCACTGCTTCACCTAGCCCCAAGAAGTTCGAAGTTGTTTCATCTGCAAAGAAAGTGCTTATGACAGTGTTTTGGGACTGCGATGGTTTGATTCATATATGGAATTTTTGGATCAGGGTTCCACTATCAACTCTGAATAATATATTGAGACCCTGAGAAAACTTAGAGCACGGCTGTCATGAGTTCGGCCCGGAAAAAAAATGCAATTTTGCACCACGACAACGCCTGTCCACACACGAGTCAACAAACTCAAGAGCCACGAAAAGACTCAGATTTCAAGAGACCTTACCACACCCATCATACAGTCCTGACCTTGCTCCATCTGACTTTTATCTTTATCCTAAGTTGAAGGAGCACCTCAAAGGAAAACGTTATGCAAATGACGATGAAGTTCAAGAAGATGTGCGTCGCTGGTTCAGAGGAAAACCACATGAATTTTTCGCTGACGGCATGCAACAACTTATTCGACGTTGGCCGATCTGCATCGACAAAGAAGGCGAATATGTTGAAAAACAAAGGTACTGTCATGTAGCAGACATCCTAAGCTTTCATTTGGTGTATAACTTTCATCAGTAATAAAGAAACTATGAACTTGGAGGCAAAACTTTTTCAATGACCCTCGTAGTTTATGATTTCGGTCGGAGTGCTCAAGAATTTAATGGTTTGTTTCATACACCCTAGAAGTCAGGTGTTGTGGCTCGGAGAGTGGTTGAGGACTACATTCGAACAGTTGGTGGTGTGGAGAAGGTGACAATCGTAGCATTAAAAAAAAAGGTATAGTTACTTTCTTGCAAAGTGTGCAAAAAAATGCCCTTTATGAAAAATTAGCAATGTTAACTTAACCTTTAAGCTTTCATCTTTTGAGGTTGACAGTTTAACAGGTTTCTTGTAACACATTGTGCAGTACAAAATTAATCTCTATATATGGTAGTCATATTTTGCCCATGCATGACCAGGCTGTAGAGTCAATGAAACTTCTTTGATGAATGTCCTGGAATTTTAGAATCTAGAGATTTCCTTCAGTTTTTAAATTATTGTAGCCCTACTTCCTTGAAACAGTTTGTGGAGAGGTTCTTTCCAAAGTTTTAAATAAAAAGTATAAATCCTACTTTTCTGGAAATAACTTTTTTCTTGTTTCAGTCAGTACTCTAGCATTGAAGTTGTGATCAGGTCAATATTTTGTTTCTTTTTATTTTCCTAAATCTCTACATTAGGCAGAAAGAGGAGGAGAAGAGAAGACTGGATGTGGAAGGAAGGAAGAGAAAGAGGGATGAGGCTGATATGTCAGTGGTAAATCTGAAGAAGAAGGCCAAAAGTCTGAAGGAAACAAGAGATAACCTAGAGAAAGCAGTGGAAGACAAGGAAGACAGAGCTGCCCGTACAGACAACCTGAACTTGTTCCTACGAAAGTCATGGACTCCATAGGAGAATAAAAGGGTTGGAGCAGCAACTTGAAGAAGTAGAGGAGAGACTCAGGGACAAAGAGGCTCAAGCCTCCTGTTTCTGAGATAAAGCTAACCTTGTACATAGTGCATATATTGGTCAATAAGGAAGGTAAATAGCTTTTGTACTTTTTTGCCCCCCTGCTTTCCTGTTCATCATCACAACCAGCACCACCGATCTTCACAACTCAAACTGACATTTTCCAAACGTCCACATTAATAAAAATGTTAGTACCCAGACAGACGACTGACATTTAGTAGTAAAGGTGTAACATTCCTGCACTTTGTGCCAAACTTTGACTGGCTTTACTGTAGGACAAACAAATCTTCACGTAGCGTCTTCCACTGGTGCTGACATTGGCCCGGAGACTTCTGCTCAGCTCACAGCACTGGGATTGAGAGCCTTCATCTCTGACGACAGAACTTGAGTGACCTTCATGCACCGCTTGGCGTCAGACGTCTCCATCTTGCTGAGGGCAAGCTCTGCTGCCTCTCTGACAGTAGAGATGGGATCATTGCGCCTGGGAATCAGTATTGTCATTAGTAGATGTACTTTTTGTTGCAGTGTGAATTTCTTTCACATTCCAATGAATTACTTGTATTAAGTTGAATACAGTGAGGCCCTTATCTCTCTCCGCTCATGTTTGTTTGTTTAAGTAAGTGATTTACGGTTCTCGCAAAACAATGAAGTCATTTAAATGCCGAAGATTAGAAACCTCACAAGAGAGTAACAAACAGAAGAAAAGAAGGAGGAGAGGTAAGGATAATAGATACATCTTTGATAGGAAAGAAGGAGCAGACCACACCTGAGCACCAGCCAACCACCCAAACTCTCATTCTAACAGACAAGGAAAAATCATACACCATCATTATCATAAGAAAAACCACTACTCCCCAGATTTTTACTCAATCTGTGCAACAAGTTCAACTACTCATTTTTTCTCGTCACGGCGACGATATGTGTCACAACGCGGTGGAATCAGGCTCTCATTTTTTGGGCATGTTGAGTTATTGGTATCATCTGAAAGCTGATTTATTTGGCTTGCTTCCAATAAAGTTTCAGAGGTGAAATTAGCGAGAAAATGGCCACTACAGTTTGGTAACTTTAACAGCTAAAAAGTACTTGAAAACTGAAAAATGACATATTTTGCGACTTTAAATAATGTTTTTAGGGAAATGGAAATGTGTTTTTTTATGGACATTAAAAAGGCTGAGCCAAAAAATAAAAAAATTCTATAAATGTCCAAACTTGCGGAAAAATGCCTGTTTCTCCGATTTTGTTATTCTAACGGGCGCCTGATTTCACCACGATGCCTCACATGTGTGCTATTTAGTTCACTCAAAAGTTCACCGTCTAATTAGTAGTCACTGTCAACATTAAAATTTTTGGTTCATTCTAAAAGTTCTGTGAAAACAAACAGCCACTACAGAGGGTGTCGCATTCAACGAGGTCACATTCAACCAGAAGTCGGCTCCAACGAGGCAATCCTTAATCCCAATTTTTTCCTCTACATCTCTTTGTAAACGTACGTCAGCTCCATCGAGGTTGCAAACAGACCGAAGTCACTTTCAACGAGGTCGCAATAACCAAATAAAAGCAATAACGGGCCCAAAAGCGAAGAATTTTTCTTCTTCCTCTCCACTCACGCGGAGCACAAGGCCCATCCTCGATTCCTAACACATTGTATTGCCAGATCTAGTGTGCCTCGAAATATAGGCCCCAAAGCCAAGAGAATGGGCGAGGGTTAGCCTATGGTAGAGATGGGAGGGGGTGGTGGGAACACGATGCAGGCTGTGTGAAACTGGACGAACTCTGGATGGAAGGTCTAGATCGAGACCTTCATTAAAAAATTTTTTTTTTCTTTTCTTCCCCTGATCAGAAAATCCAAGTTCCCGGCTTTATTTCATGTAGATCTGGGCCTAGATCTGAGAGGGTACGTTTTCACACGAAAAGTGTTCCAGAAAAAGAATAATTAAAAATGCAGAAATGACGGTCAGAACACAGCTCAATCACGCGCACACTGCTGTTGTTTGAGATTTTCATCATTGGGGGAACAACTTTTAATTACTGGTATTGGTATATTGTGTAATAATTTCTTGTCTCCTTTCTTTTCTTTAGCTTTAATCACACTCAACGAAAGGTCGGATTCAACGAGGACAACAAGCCGGTCCCGGCAACCTCGCTGAATGTGACACCCACTGTATTTGATATGTCATCCTTAACAGATTGTGAAGTGAGTTCTAAAAACTTGAACTGGCATACGAAGGGAGAGGTGGGAGAGGGAGGGGCTGGGGGGAGGGGGGGGGGATCAAAGAGAGAAAGGAGATGGGAGAGAGAATGCAAGAGACAACCAGACAGGCAGGCAGACAGACAGGCAGAAAGACAGACAGACAGCTAGAGAGACGGAGATTGCGAGAAATTTACTTAACACATTACACCCTAACTCGCCCGGGAACGCCCGGGAATTCCCTTACGCGCTCCACCCTGACTCGCCTGGAACCGCCCGCGCCGACCCAGCGTCTTTAGAAACGAAAGTCTCGCCTTGACGAGACTCTGGGACCGGGATTTTGATTTGCATAGTATAGCAAAAAGTTTCTTCTTTCGTTCGATACTGAAACGAAATTTTTCGGGCTAGTAGTTTTAGTATTAGAGCTGATCGAAGTGCGATCGCGTTACCGACACTTCGAAAGTGTCTCGACTTATTGAAAAGCGACACGATTGAGTTCGAAAACGGAAATAACGATGGATTTGAGCAAAAACGAGCATGTGACAAATCAGATGGCTCAGATTTTGATGAAAATGTTGTAGGAAGAGTTTGTGGCGATTCCGATTGATCAGACGGAGAAAATCTAGAATTTAGATCTAGGGCCCGACCGCGAGGCTGAGAGTGAGAGTGACTGGTCGGACACCCCGATTTAAATAAAGTTTGAAAAAAAAACATTTCCAACAGTTTGCGCATGCATAAAGTTATATTTTTCTGAAACTACATTCAGTTTTCTTTTTAACTTTTATTTTTTCAGGATTTTTGGAATTTGTTTAGTATTTTTAAAATGTGTTTTTTAAAGCCTAGTATTCACGGGAGGTGGGTTCCTTCCCCTTGCTTAGGATCTAACAATGGACTTCCCATCCAGGCCCTTAGGGTGTAATGTGTTAAACACTAAACTGTACTGACCAGCGGTCCACAATGTAGGGTACGGCTTTGGTGGATCGAAGGAAGCCCAGACTCAAGCATGCACTTTCCCGAACAAGCCGATCCTCATCTTCCATCAGGCCAAGTAACTTGTCCACTGTTGACGGCCGCTGCTTGCCTGAGATATATATAAACACAAAAATCAACTTGTAAATTTACCGGAACAAATTTACCACATCCCACACACACACATACACAAACTGGCTTATTGAACTGTGAAACTCATGCTACAAGGTTTAAATAGTTTTCAAAGCTATTGTTATTTTTCATCATTGGCAGAAAGTGGCATTGTGGTGAAATCAGGCGCTCGTCAAAATAGTAAAATCGAAGAAATCAACATTTTCCCAATAGAGAAGTCAGCAAACTTTGGCGACCATTTTCTCTATACTTTCTGAAACCAGGGGTCCCCCACGTCCCTCAATCAGAAATATCTCAACTTCTATTCAAGATAGATGAGTATTTTTTTTAAAAACCCAAAATCAAGGCAAATTAACAGGTTTTAATATAACACCGATAACTATATTTGCCCAAAAATTGACAAGCACCTGATTTCACCGCTTCGCATCACAAAGTGGTAGATCGACATAACAGATAAACTGGCGGGTAAAAACTCACATGCCATGCATACATAATCGGCATTACCAGGCATTGCGGTGAGTGCCACACATAATGGCCAACGACCTAAAATATTGAAGGAAAAAAAAAGCAACCCAACACATACACCCACTCAACTCACCTGCATGGGCTAAGGCAATAGCTGCCACGGCCCGAATGTTGGGGTCATCGTCCTTGAGCATGTCCGACAAACCAGAGACGATGGCCGGGAAGGAGTACTGACCTGAAATAATAGAGAACAAATTCCTGCTTTGACTCTACACAACATCCAAGTTTTACATCACTTAAAAATTAAACATTAAAGCCCATCCAACATTTTTTTGCATGCATATTCTTTAAAAATGATCTTCATTATTATTATTATTTCTATAATAATAATATATAACATTTATACAGTGCATTTCCAAAAAAAGTAGCTCAATGCGCTTTACATTGGAATACATTGAAATTATTACTATTGTTATTATTATTATTATCATCACCATTGTTGTTATGAATGTTTTTCACTGGTGTTCTTCAGAGTAAGAGAGGAAAGTCGCTGTAACGACAGTGAACAAAATATTTTCCCACTCTTGCCCCCCACCTCTCCCTCTCTTACCTAAGCTTTGTATGGTGGGAATTCTCAAGCTACTGTCCATACTGATGACTTCACGCAGGGACATGTAGGCCAGCACATACTGCTGCAGGCGATTGAAGAAGGAGTGCGGCTCAAATTCCAGGCAGAAATGATCGTAAACACTGCGTCGCACACGCTTGCTCAGTTCAAATATGTCCTTATACATGAGGTTGACAAAGAACTTTGTGCGCTCCTCGGGGTATTCAGAAAACTCTTCTTTAATTTTACCCCCGTAGTCCTGTAGGAAGCGGTCTCGGAAATCTGTCCAAGAAACCTAAAAAGACAAAAGAAAAAAAAAATTGTTTTACAAGTATCAGTAAGGTTTTACGGCGCTCGCAACTGCATAAGATCATATGAGCGCCAAGGGGTGAATGTCAACAGAGATGTCCAAACGCGGAATCAAGCTTACTCTGCTCACCTCTCTTGCCTCAACAGCACAAAGTCTGCTACGACTATCAAGGCACCCCGGAAATAGCAGTTCACAAGAGAGTGACAAACATACAAAAGAAGTAGAGGAAAAATGACGATAGTAAGGATGAGGAAAGAAAAAGCAGCAGTTCCCCCAATGGTGTTCCGGTACAGTATTAGCATGACATTGATAAATCAGCCCATTTACAATTCTACTGTGCATAAGAACATGTTAATATCCCCCCCTTTGAGAATGTCCTAAAGACACTTCAATCAATGGTACTGCCCTGGGGGATGGGGGGGTGAAGGTGGGGCAAACAAAAAATACACAAATACATTATCATCCAACTAGCTGTAAAGACTCTCGGCCTCGAAAAAAGGAATACTAGAACTCACATTAAGAAAATACACAAAACTACTGATTTTTGTTTTGTTTTAGTAAAAAAGAGCATAGCAACACAAAAATTACTTTGGTGATGGGATAAGCAAGACAGACAGACAGACAGACATAAAAACAAACAGCAACATAACTGGGATAGTAAAGATGTAAGACATAGCGGCAGTAACTTCCCTAAAGAGCAAAACTTATTACAACTCGACTGAATGATAGTAGACACTTTGTTTGCATACAGAGAAGCACACTGATACAGCAACACATAGACATTATGAATAGAAAGGAAAATAACTTGGCAAATTATTGTTGTGAATTTTTACAAAGAGCAGCACTAGTATTTCAGTTGCTATGTGAAAGACAAGTTTATTTTTGTATGAGATGCAACCTTATATTTCCAATCACTCAGGAACGAGGGCCAAAGAGGAGCATTCTCATAATTTTATATACATATTACCACTGAATGTTGAAAATATGATTTTGAGAGGTTTTTTTTTTACATTGCATTGGCTTCCTGTTGAGAAAAGAACTGTGTACAAGTTGGCCACCATATGTCACAAATGCTTGAAGGATAATGCGCCATCATATTTATCAAATCTGTTGAGAAAGTTTCCAACTCACAGTTCAGTTTAAGGTCATAAGCAGACCAAACAAATCTCTTTTACCATCTATTAAACTTAAAACAATGGGTGAAAGGGCTTTTGAATATCAAGGCACCAAGATCTGGAATGCTTTGCCAAGTATTTTAAGAGAGATCAAATCCTTTGATTCATTCTTTGAAGTCATTTCTGTTTAGAAATTAAGAGGATGAATATTTGGAGTGATTTTCTTTAGGTCAGAACACAACCTTTTATGTTACTGTTGTACATTGTATTGTATTGTAAAGCGCACAGAGCCTGTGTACTTTAATCAGGGTTGAGCACTATATAAATGTCTTTTATTATAATTATTATTAAGGTGTTGCAAAATTATGTGACTGGCAGTGGATTCATAAAAAGTTTTCTTTACCACAACCTTTCAACACTGACCTCAGTCTCTCCCTTAAAGTGTCGGTCCCAAAAGTGCGTGTCCCCACTGATAGTGGACAGGTCCACCCCTGGGATGACCCCATCAAAGCCTGAGCCGTCACCACCCAGCTCCAAGCCGTGAGAGAAGGCGACTGTCACGCCGTGAGTGCTGAAAAATCCAGCGTTCTGCAGATGTTCATCTTCCCCACGTTCGGATGTCATGTTCTCGAGATCCCTCCTCATACACTTGATGATCGCGTCCGTTTTCTCCTCAAACTCATCCATGCTGAACACAAAGCACCAGTTGATTTTGGCCAACATCAGTTTCCTATCACAGACAATGGACAGAGAGGAGAACTAAGACTAGGTCTGGTAAGTCTTGTTTCAAGTTCCCCTGCCAGATTTATGGGGCTGCTGACAGAAAGGGTTCCAGTATACAATGTTACTAACATTATGTACAAAAGGATAGCTCATTTGCCTACAAAAATCTAGCATCTCTCACTTTCCAGGATATAACATGTTGATGTCAAATGTACTTAATAATCATCGCAGGCCAGGATTTTTTTCTGTTTTTAAGAAGGATTTTGGTTCTTACTTTCCCCCGGCACTCAGCTCTAGTAAGACTGCTCTTCATAGATTTTCATTTGCCAAGGTATCTTTTAACTTTTTCAGAATGAGCATCACTTCTCCCATTATCTTAACCTTAACCCTTTGAACCCTAAATCTTGAAATTTCTCAAATCTCTATCCCTGGACATTTTTCGCAAATTTCATCAAAGTTCACAGTGTTTTGGGGCACATACACAAAAAGACTGAGGGTAAGATCAAGGAGAAACAAACACATCTGTTCACTCCCTTGTTTATCTTATTCCAAGGTGGAAATATTGAAAGACGACAAACAAGAAATAAAGAGAGTACTATTGACGGACTACACAACTCAGGGTAGTCCGTGCCCCGGTGAACTGGCCTTACAGTGAGCAGCAAAATATTGCCCAGGCCGGTTTACCGGCCTAATATGTTCGAAGGGTTAAGCATAAAGACAGAGCACTCTATATTCCACCCACACCCAGAGATCAGGTGCGGCAGTTATCATGCAGTCAATGTACAACTTAACTCAACTCATGGGTAATACTCTTCACATCATTTTTGGAACTAGTTCTATGGGTGGTTGGAGGGTGCCACTGGCAGGACCTACTTCTCTTCTTTCCCTCTGTTGTTTCTGTCTGTCTGTCTTACTTTTTCTCATAAACGACTGACCATTGACTGTGTTGAGGTGCTCCTCTTTACTCAAATTCAAGAATTAGTACTCACGCTCCTCCGCTGAGCTTGGGAGAAAGGAAACGGAAGCGAATCCGAGAGAGCGGGTAGATGGCCGAGTTAGAGATGTAGGCCAGAGACAGCTGCTCCTGGATGTGTTTGTCCACGGCGGACTCCTCCGTCATCACTGGCAGGTAGATCTGGGGGCACGGAGACACATCCAAAGTTAGAAATAAGATAAGATAAGAGATAAGATAGTACAGTCAAACCTGTGTAAGACGGTCACCCATTGTCAAGGAGAAAAGTGGCCGTATAAGACAGGTGGCTGTCTTAGGCAGGACTGATCAAGATAAAGAAAACAAACCATTCCCATCTGAGGCCCCTATCGAAAGTAGCCCCATTATGTTGTCTTTGTTGGTGTTGTTGTTGTTAGTTTGTATTTCGTTTGTAATTTTTATTTTGTCGCAGATTTTGCACAAGGGTGACAATAAAACGAAATGTATCAGACAAGGAAGACCGAGTGCCATGTTAAAACAAAAACATGGGTCGCCACCACTCGGAGAACGAGCGACGCTTCTGTAACAAGTCCATGTTGACGTTCTTTGTTACTTTGTTACAGACTGGGTAAACAGTGACCACTCATCTCACGATTTGTGTATGAGTTCTGGGCGGGGCTTATGGGTTATGAGGGATCACACGCTAACCTCACCAGCAGCTGACAATTGGTAGCTATTGGTCAACAGTGGGAGGGGCCTACGCAACATGATCGGTTGGAGGGACTGCCTAACAACAACCACAGGTGATTGAATTATGACAGCTCGCCCACAACGCCAGGGGCCAATGCACAATTTATGACAAAACGTAATGGAGTCACTAAGGTGACCGTCTTAGACAGGTATTATTGCTTAGTATGATAGGGGTTGTGTGTTAAATTATGGTGGCCGCGGCCCCGTTGGACAGGTGCCCGTTTTACACAGTTAAATTATATAGAAAAAACGCAAGGGGGGAAATGGAAAGTGGCCGTTTGTACAGGCGGCCGTCTTATAGAGGTGGCCGTCTTATAGAGGTGGCCGTCAGGGCAGGTTCGACTGTACTTTATTGTCCCAGAGGGAAATTTTCTTGGCTGTACAGGACTGCAAAAACACATGCAGGTATACATAAACAATTTTAATTTTAATATATTATTCTCATTAAAATTAAATGTGAAAAGAAAAGTAAAGCTGAGCCCTGTCGCCACCGAGCAGCGCCGGAAATAACCGGCACTCAAATAGGAGGAAAAACAAAAAATGAAATAAAGATTGTATGATTGTGTGAGATTGCAGAATATTAATACAATAGGCGGATCACTCTCCTTTTCATTTAATCCTATGTCCTGTCACTAGCAAGTAGATCAAGGGACACGGACACACATTCCAAGTTTGAATAGGAAGAATGACAAAAAAATGAAACAAAGATTGTGTGAGATTGTAGAATATTAATATATTTCGTGGATCACTCTCCTTTTCATTCAACCCTATGTCCCAATCATGGGGCATAGATCATTTCAATTGGGGCACGAGTAACAGAAAGATTTGTGTTCCGAATCTACCTGTTGGGGTCAAACTAGGTTGAATGGAATACAGCTTCCAAACAAAGTGACAGTGATGCTTGACAAAGTTAGGTCAACAAATATCCATTATATAAGTATTGTGAAGTCTATGACACATGCCAAAAGAAATCTACTTTGACTTCAAAAGGCCAGAAGAAGCAAGAAAAAGCTGACACTGTCCAGAAATTAAAAATGATGTTTTAATAATTTTTTACGGCACTTGCAACACAATAAGGTCATATTAGTGCCGAAGATTAGGGGCATTACAAGGGAATAACAAACACAAAATAGAAGGAGGGGAGATAAGGACGATAGATGTTTGATAGGAAAGAAGGAGCAAACCACACCAAAGCACCCGCCAACCATCCGCTTAAAATTGAGCTCGCATTAATCTAAACATGAACATATCCACAATGACCAGCCATTGTCAAGGAGAACAGTAATCATCTTATTATTGAAACAAATGGTTATCTTAGACAGGTGGTCTTATTGAGAAGGCCAGATGAAAATGAAGAAGAAAAAAAATTCCTTCTGAGATCCTAATCAAAGGTGTTGCAGGTTTATGACTTCCGCAAAGTCCATTAAAATGTTTTGGGGTTGTTTTTTTATTCATTTGGAGGAAGGCTTGAAAGTGAGCTTTGTGGTGGGAGGTGGGGGAGAGATTGATGTTTTTATAGGTTCTTTTGTCATTCACAATGTTCGGGGCCCCTATCGACAAGAGATTGGAGCGATTATCTTGAACCAGGTTTTGGAAATGGGTTTATAAAATATAGCTGTCGCTTTGAATTATGGTCGTCTTGGAGAATGTCATCCAATAGAAAAAAAGTGTGTGCCTAAAGAAAGGTACAAAAAGTCACTACAGACAATTTTGAGCTACAAGCTGATAATGACCAAAAAAAATCACCTTTTTGACGAAAATGAGTTTCCACAAAAAATGATAGTTCCACCATTTTTTAGCAATGTGTTAAAAAAGTTTTCACTGATTTGACTTCTAAATATTTTATTTTGAATTATTTTGAGGGTAGGGGATTTTTTTAAAAAGATAATGAAAACTGTTTTCAAAAGGTGTTAAAAATCTATTCTTGAAGCATGTTTTCTCTTACCCGCTATGTTTTACCATTGAATTCTAATCATGACAGTGATGTCAACTGAAAGCCAAAGTGGAAATGAATTTCCATGATGAATAAATACTTTAGAAACAATTGAAAGATCAATTTTTTTCAAATTTGTATGTGCTCTAAACTTAAAAGCTAATTTTCTCAAAATTACACCTTTATACCCTACCTCGCAAAATGTGCAATATATCAAAAACTACTCAAGATATCTCAAAAATTCAAAAACCTCTGTGTTCAGCATTGAATGTCCTATTAGGTACAACCCTTAACCCAAAATGGTTAAAGTCTGACTTTTGGTACCCTTCTTTAGGTGCACACACAAATGCTAGGGGGGAAACTGGGAAGGGGCATTCTGATCAGGTGGTCATCTTGGACAAGTGGTTGCTAGTGCAGGTTTCACTCTATTCATTTTCGTTTGGTTTTAGTAAGAGTTTTCACGGCACTTGCAACACAAAAGTTATAAGAGCTAAAGATAAGAGGTGTTACTAGAGAGTAAATTACAAGACAAGGAGGAGAGATAGGGATGATAAATGCTTCATAAGAATAATAAAGAAGAAGCAAATCACACCACAGCATCCATCAACCAGTGACTGCATTTCTTTATTAGCTCAAAAAAAAGAATTGGGTGTCCTCAATGACCATTAGTATTATGACTTACTGTCCTCACCAACACTGAACAGCCACTGTTTATTTAGAAGCCTTTCAAGAATTTAACAAATGAGCAATTTACATTATGCATCATTGAATTAGCAAAACCACCATGAATTTACCATTGTACATGTATGTGAGCGCGTGACAGAGATGGGAAAACCAACGTAAACTTCTTATCTTGTAGTCCACAGATACTGCCAAAGTTCACTTCAGTCTGTTCCCACAGAAGAGTTCACTTACATACCCAAGAAAACAAAATAAAAGCCAAAGACAATAGAACCAGAATGTACTGACCTTGCATCCCAAAATAGCATCGCTGGTCTGGGTCGCATCTCCATCTGGGTTAGTGTACCATACACTCATGCTCGAGGATCTCAACTTTTCTACAAGTAAAATCAGAAAGTATTTCAGTAGGGATGACAACCTAGTGTTTTACGGCACTTGCAACACAATAAGGGCAAATAAGCGTAGAAGATTAGAGGTGTTACAAGAGAGTAACAAACATTAAAAAGAAGGAGGGTAGATAAAGATGATAGATGTTTGATTGGAAAGAAGAAGCAAACCACACTAGAGCACCCGCCAACCAACCACATCATCATCATCAAGATTCACAACAATTGTTAGAGCTTGAATCAAGAAAGCAAATGGAACACCAAGATAGTGAGAAAATATTGCAAGGATCAAACCAAACTACCATAACTTGTTGCTAAAAACGTGATACACACTGTAATTTTTATAAACATTTGTAGAAGCTCTTTGTCCCAATTTTAACCCTATTGGTACGTCGTGTTTTACTATCATATCCATATATGATGTGGGGAACTCTGTGCCACCACTTTCCAAAGAGGAATTTACTCGTTAATCCGATCCGTACGCTTTGCATAGCAGTCTGTCAAAACGATTTTTTGAGAAATACTGAAATTTTCAAAGAGATCTTTGTACTAAAAGTATTCTAAAATGTGAAGAATACAAAATGACCCTAGGGCGTACAGTGTTAACATGTATAACATCAGTAAAAAGTGCACAAAAAGTTACGGAAAAATCCCATCCAACTTCACATTCCATTGAGACTACATATAAAATATTTTGTTTATGAAGAAAAAGAAAGAAATTACAAGAGCCATTCCCTTCAACCACTCATTTCACTGGCCTAAACAGGACATATTGTATGGTCGCTTTTAAGGACAAGCGGGCTAACCCAGATTTCTGGTGATTCCAGAAATCTTGACCTACATCAAAAGTGGGCATTGCCCTACCTATAGGAGAAGTTTGGTTTCAATGGTGTGTATATTTGTTTGGTTATAGAGAAAATTCTCCTTGTCTTTTAACTCGCTAAAGACTGAGGTCTCGCGAGGCGCACAACCACTGAAGACTGAGGTTTTTAGGGGTATTTTAAAAAATCATAAGTTAACTCAGAATTGTTCAGTTGCTCTGACCTTTTTAAAGAAGTCTCTTTGTTCTTTCAAATAAAACAAATTTGAATGCTGTATTATTTATACTTAAAAAAAAAAAAAATTTGTGAAAAGCACATGAATTTTGGTTTTTTCAAGAATTTTTTAGCGTTTTACCCTTCCCTTTACTCACACCAGACCTACTTACACTAAGTTATACCTTTTCTAACAGAAAAATCACTGTCAGGCCTTTTGCGCCTCTCAGCCACAAATTCTGGATCATTAGGATCGCTGAGTTTACTTTCTGAAGAACTACACTCATCGATAACATAAAAAATGTTGCTAGTTTTGCTGGGTACATGTACTCTCGAAGTCTGCATGGGGGCAGCCATTTTCCCTAGAACTGAAGTTTGTAAGTTATCTGAGTGACATCCCCTAAAAGTTTGTACTAAAAAAGTTCTACCCCTACTTCCACCAAACTTCGCACGAAACGGAAAAAAATGGACGCACTGGCACTGACGATGATTCCCGTGGCGCTCTCGAGATTACGAAAAATGCGAACAAATTATAAAGCTGGTCCCATGGGGGTCACTGGATCCGGCCTCAGAGGGTAATTGGCCAGTCCCGAGAATGTCTCGGGATACGGCGTCAGTGAGTTTTAAAAAAATGAACAAGGGGCAAAAATTTTACCTTCGATTTTCTGAAAACAACATTTTTCGGGATAGCCCCCTTGTGCTTAAAAGTAAATAAAAGCGACCATATTTGTGTAGGCAGAGCTCCTCTCACCTGCAAGTTTTTGTACAAATTCCAGATCACTGACATTGTATCCAATGACAATGTCGAATCTCGTGGTATTAGCCATGTCGATTTCCTCTTGGAGCTGCACTCACTTAAGACCTCCAAACTTTAAAAATCTTACATTTATGATTGGACTTCAAGAAAAAAAAAAACCACTTGTCAGCTAGGCGCTTCTATCCACCGGCACCTCAACCGCAACCCTTATTCTCAGTGCACGATGAGACGCAAATCCTCTTTCTCCTCGATGTCCAGAGTCTGAGAGCGACGTAGAGTTTTGTTCCCACTGGGGACGGGGGAGGAAGGCCGCTCGCCCTCACAAGATACCACAGGCTCACTGGACACGATCTGCTGCTGTGAAATATACGCTGATGTGCTCCGTGTCAAAGTTTGCTTGTGCAACGACACGCTGGGTGTGTGGGGACGAGGAGCTACGGGTGTCTGCCTACGGGAGCTTCCTACATCGGTGTCTTCATAGTCCAGTATACTTGTGGCTTCGATAACTATAACGAAATTGAAACAAAGGGAAAACCATGAGCTGCATGTCAAATACTACATATAGCGAGAAAAATAAAAGAGCTATGACAAAATACATTTCAACAAGAACAATTTCCTTTTCAACTATACCAACTTGTTACAAGTGTATGTACTAGACGCTTTCTTTACAGTTCATTAGAATACTTCCTTACATTTTTACTAATTGATGTTAGTTGCTGAAGGAATCATAGCATTTTTAGTAAAGGATCGCATCAGACAATGTCACAGCTACTCAGGGCGTAACCACAGAACTCTTCTTCAATGGGTACATCACATCCTAAGGATAATACTTCGTCCGTCAATTTATGACGATGACCAATGCATCTATACAGAGAGAATATTTCTCAAAGCGAAACGGAAGAAAAGAGGATTAAGATGATTTGATGCGTCTGCTATGGCAAATTAAGACAAATTTTTGTAAAGAAGAGTTTGGCAATATTCAAAAGTTCCATTTTCACTTGTGGATGTGCGTAACTTGCAGGCTCCTCTCTTGGTTTCAGCATTTCTAATTCGTGAAGCCTCATGATGATACAATTTGCTGTCCTCTGTGATTGCTGCTCTCAGTCTGGGTCTGTCAGTAGCTTGACTCTCAGAAGCCAAGGGAGTAAAGGTAAAGACCTGTTGGCCCTGACAGGGAGGGTCAAAACCCTCCTTTTAAAATTTCTAATGATCTAAATTGTGGCTCAGAAACCTACAAAGAAAACATGTCATAATAGTGAATATCGCTAGCAATATAAAATTTTAAATTCTGGACTCAAAGTCTGTGCATAGCCATTCCTGTTATATGTCAGCGTCATTAAGCATTTTTGTGACTTTCACACAAACTAACTTCCCAACTGACATGGACAGCACTGTCAGAAATTACTGCTATTCACGCTACAACTAGTTATAAGCCTTATCATGATATCAGATGAAAATGCAAGCGGCCCTATTTCAGTTTCACAACAAACTTCGCGGTAACTTCAAACTTCCAAGTACACTGAGGGATACAAGATTCATGCCAACTAGAGCGCACTTTTATTTTACTTTTAAGTCATGATTTATTTGTGCATGAAACACAGCCTTAAGCACATACACACTTGTCGACGCAAAAAGCTTACTATACAAAATACATTGCTGAGCAGAGGACTCAAACTCAAACTACCCAGGGGGCTGCTGGAGGTACGACTGGGTGAGCCTAGACTGCACCATGTATTCTAAATTCTAAAAAGTAAAAGTTTCAATTTTTTTCAAAAGTCTCAATCTTTATCAATAGCAGTTTGGAACATGATCAGTCCTTCAGAACATAGGCTTCTCTTACCAACTCTTAGCAACCAGAGATTTGCCAGCCCTTTGTATAATATCTCAGCCATATTTGGCTTGAGTGTCAGCCACACTAAAACTAAAACTTAGGGGTTTCAAGTAGGGGCCGCAAAATATCGTCCTTAGGCCTCATTTTGCCTGTTAGTCGCGAGTTTGAGACCCCAGTATTAGTGCAATAAGGAGTGAAAAGACAGCCGCTGTCATATATATACACCTGCATTCAAACCATATATGCCAGTGAAGGTGGCAGAAATATCACTGACCCTGGCTCAACTCAATAAACAACTAACAACAACAAAAAATGACACTCAAAACATGACTAAGATCCATTGATGGAACAAAAGATGCGGAGATCGGAAAGGACAAAAACATGTTGTAAAGCACGTCTCGGTTGACACAAAAATTCAGACAAAAAACGCATGCCAAGGCTGCATTCATGAAAACAAAAATGGTTAACATCATGTTTACAAACATTTCACGCACAAGAGCAAACAGCATTGAAAGAGTAATGGGGGAAGAGGGCAAGCTAGAAATCACATCAAGATCAGGGAAATGGTCCACAGATGTGAAGAGAACAAAAACAATTAACAATGGAAAAAGTAATATCGGTAACTCTAAGAAGGCAGGATGAAGTGGCAGTGGAAATGAGCAACGGTACAGAGTACAACTGAAGGGGATAGAAACTTAATTGAGGACACAAAATGAGCACAGACAGAGTGCTTTATAAAATACTGTGTTGACTTACATGCAAAATGCACAAAACAATTATTTATTCAACATGCCAACTGAAAAAACACTGGCCTCCTTAAAATGGGACATTGGTATGTCTTTTTCCTTAGATTTCTTTGTATTAAAAGCTGTGAAAATTAAAATCCAGAGAAGGAAAAATTGGGTGTTCTTTTCCTGAAATCATGGACATCTAAATATATTCTTCAGATGTAGTCTGGTGGTGCCAATCTTTACGTCATTTTCATTTTTAAAAATTAAAAAAGAAAACATACAATCTTTAGACATCAAAATTAAAACAAAGGTAGCATTCAGTATTCCTAAGAACATGACAGAGCTGGATTTTCCTGATTTTTAACATAAGGTCAAGAATTTATAAAATTGTAGCCTTAGATCGCTGTGTATCATGAAATACTCCAGAATTGACCAATTGGTGGTTTGCTATTCCACTTTTTAAAACTGTGAGTGTTCTCTGTTCAGTAAAGGTTCAAAGTTGCACAAATAGAAGCAGACAGGAATTTCCTAAAAAGTTGTCCTGAGGCTGCAGTGGCTGAGTGGTTGCTGAGCTGAGGCTCATGACACTACTGTCAAGCGTGTGTGGGAGACATGGTGTACCGTTAGGTGAGTGGTCACTGGATGGTGTCCTCCAGCAAGAGTTGATAACTCTAGCCCCCTCCCCCCCAAAAAAAACCCAACAACCAAGGTGCTGCACAGTGTGGACCAGCAATGGTACGACAGTGGTCTACGTTTGTGATTTAATTGTATGTTATTCTCATGCGTTTATGTATCAATTTATTGTGTACTACACTATTGTCAAACATGTTTCCCAAGGGAAGCTATTATTACTTATTTTCTTTCTTGTTTTGGTAAGTGTTTTACAGCGTTCGCAACTGCATAAGGTCATATTTTTATTTCTATCTAGAAGTTCCAAAGATCATATATATAGTGACTGCAAGACTGTTGCCAATTAGTCATGCTGATCAAAGTAAAACTAGATTGTCTAAACACCATCTAGGTTGTCAAGCTTAAGGCACGCGGGGTAGCTAAATACTAATAGATAGGATGTTTTCTCTGAATAAACTTTTGTCCTATAACCTTTAGTTGAACCTATGCAGACAAATAAAAGTACCAGTAACTTTTCTCTGCATTCTTCTTCACCTCTTAAGGCACCTGTATGTCTCCGCTGAAAGCAGATGCAGTGGTGCCCCCACGGTTGCCCCAACCACGGGATAGAAGAAGAAGAAAAAAGCAGAGATTATTTTCTGTTTCCCTATCACCTTTCTTCTTCTTTTCATTTTGCTCATTCACACCCTCTTTTTCTTCATTATAAATACTATAAGCCAAGCAATCATTAAAGCAATGGTGATAATAATACAGTATGCATTCAATTTCAATTCCATAGACTCTTAAGCCGTTAAATTGCCACCTCCTAATCAGCATTTTTTTCTCCCTCATGAAATAAAACATTCAAACTGCCTTGTTCTGCAAGGATTCTGGAGAGCAGAAAAAAAGTGTACGGGACCGACAGCTGTAGAACAAATTGCTGTTATTAGAACAGCCCAAAGCATACATTTTCCATCCACAAACAACATAGTCAGCACCTGGCTCACACCCACAGAACCACAAAGCATCATTCAGAACACCATAATTTACAGCACTGGAAGGACCACAACAACCGCAAAAATCAATGGATAAGGATCCGCTGGGCCAAGCAGATAAAAACATGCTTACAGGTAGTTTCGGCTGCAACGTGGACCAAACTAATTACTAGCTACTCTGGTTGACAGACTTATACAACAGGTTAAACCGAGTAGGCCTACCTGTCAAGCTGACAGCCAGAACATTGCGACCATGTTTTGTTTTATATGCAATTACTTTATATCAAAGCTTTCTGTTCAGTTCGTTTTTTTCTTCAAGAAGGACAAGACAGACCCTTTGACCCATAACAATTAACCCACAAGGCCGACTCTCACAAGAAGAAAATATTTTATGAAGTAATAGCGTAGGACTGGGCATGTGAACTCATAAGATCTGACACTTTTTCATTCAGAGCTGGCATTTTCCGCTATCAAAAGGGCAAATAAAATGCAACTTCTATTTAGTTTAGTAAGAGTTTTACGGCGCTCGTAACTGCATAAGGTAATATAAGTGCGCCAAAATAGAGCTTCAAATACTCCTGAGTATAATAAATATTGTGGATAAATAACGTATGCAACCGAGAACACCTGAAGCCCTTAATAAATGACAGGTCACATGACAGGGAATAGGAAGAAAAGACGGAAATTACTGTTGATTCTGATGCTGCGACTCGTGTGCAGGGATGCGTTGTTGCTGCCAGTGTGAGAAGCCGAAGCACCGCAACCCATTCCCCCCCCTAAGGGGACACATTCACCTGGGAGCAGCTTCAGCGATAGATTGGTTCAAAATCTGGACAAGGCTGGATTGGTGGAATAAAACCATGTGACAGGAAGAGTGGTTCGCTCAAACTGACTTTTTAAAAGATGGAACATTGCAGCAATAAAAGTCGTTTACAATTAAGTCTACATGAAAATATACACATTTTACCAGGAGCATGTATTTGTATACATAATATATATATATATATATATATATATATATATATATTTTGGAAAAGAGCAAAGTATTGAAAAAAAAATCGAATAGAACTGCCAGCAACATGTAAGCGTCTAACGACTTACAAAAAGTTTGGACTGTGAACACCACAGAACTACATTATAAGAGACGTGTATTGCACTTTGACTTTAACTGTACAATAAAGTTTAGAGTTTCCATGCGATCACCTTGAACATTCATGAATTCCAACAATTTAAGCAGCCTCTATAATATAGTGCATTAACTCATCAAACCTTTAGTACATCAAACCATTTTCTATGAAGTTTGACCTCAACCATGCATCACTTACACTTACAACCAAAAGAATAAAAAAATCATGAAGCTTCAATGGACACGAAGTGAGTGTCATTAAAAAAATGATTCCTCAGCCTGGTTCAACGAAAATGGCAAGAATGTGCCCCAAGAAAGGGTACAAACAAACAAGTACACAAACATGAAAACAAAGACATTTTTTCAATAGCCTTACTGGTGTAGTATCACATGGTTTTTTTAATGTGTTTTTTTTAAATTAAGCATTCTACAGCACTTGCAGCACAATTGTGTCATACAAATGCAGTTATAATTACAGGTGCGACAAGAGAGTAACAAACACAAAAAAGGAGGAGAGATAAGGACAACAGATGTTTGATGAGAAAGAACGAGTAAACTACACTAGAACAACCACAATATTCATTCACTGATCATGAGTGACCAGCCATGATAATCTGAAAGTGGCTGCAAGATACCCCAGACTGTAATCCATTTTTTACAAAAGTTTAAAAAAATCAAAATCAGGTTCTAGCCATCTAAAATACTCTGCACACTTGAAAGTAATCCACAGCTACTTTCCAAAACATGCAGGCAAACTTTTAATTAGTTTTTATACATCCTTATTTTAAAATTAGATCCAATAAGTTTCAAAACAATGATATATAATATCACCTACTTTTTCTACTAAGTTACGGTCCCACTCTATGGCTCAACATACACACGAAAAAAAAAAAGAGAGAGAGAAACAAAAAGAGAGAGAGAGAAAGAGAGAGAGGGAGAGAAAGAGCAAGTTAGTTTTACTAAAGGTTTTACGGCGCTCGCAACTGCATAAGGTCATATGAGTACCAGAAGATTAGAGGTGTTACAAGAGAGTAACAAACATAAAAAAGAAGAAGGAAAGATAAGGACGATAGATGTTTGATTGGAAAAAAGAAGCAAACCACACTAGAGCACCCGCCAACCATCCACTGAAAGAGAAAGAGAGAGAGAGAGAGAGAGAGAGAGAGAGAGAGAGAGAGAGAGAGAGAGAAAGAGAGAGAGAGAGGGGAAAGGGGGGGTTGGACAGAGGGACAGAGGGAGAGTTAGAGAGGGAGGGAGGAAGGGAGGAAGGAGATAAATGTAAAAAGAGAGATGCACTGCTAAACCAAAGAGGCAACAGCAGCTGAATGGTCCACGAGAAATTTATTGTAATAACTCCCTCCTCCTCCTCACACACACACACACACACACAGAGAGAGAGAGAGAGAGAGAGAGAGAGAGAGAGAGAGAGAGAGAGAGAGAGAGAAAGAGAGGGAGAGAGAGAGAAAGAGAGGGAGAGAGGGGGGAATCAAGAAAGAGAGAGAGAGAGAGAGAGAGAGAGAGAGAGAGAGAGAGAGGAGAGAGAGCAGGCGCGGTTCGTCCATAGAGCACGGTCGTGCAGTGCCGCCCAAAATTGTTTAATGTTCTACTACGAAAAGCATTTACGATGTAGACATGTTCAATAATGTTTCAGTAAAGAGTAAAAACTTGGAATTAAAAGGAAGAAGGGGTTGACAAAACATGACAGTACAATTTTAGACGAAGGAAGAGGGTATGATTTGCATAAAGGTGAACTAAGCTTTAAAGGTTTAAAATTTCTCTGAGACACTCATTAACTTTATCATATCTTTCAAGTAAAAGCTAATTAGAGTTTGGACACCCATTTAAAACAGAACAAAATATATATGCAGTCGAACCTGCCATGATGGCCACATCTATGGCCACCTCTATACGACGGCCACCTGCTTTTTTCTATATAATTTCACTGTAAAACAGGCACCTGTCCAACACAGCCGCGGCCACTAAATTTTAACACACAACCCCTATCACACCAAACAGTAACCCCTGTCTTAGAAGGCCACCTTAGTGACTCGATTACGTTTTGTCATAAATCATGCATTGGCCCCTGGCGTTGTGGGCAAGCCGCCATAATCCAATCATCTGTCGTTGTTGTTAGGTAGTCCCTCCAACCGATCATGTTGCGTTGGCCCCTCCCATTGTTGACCATTAGATAACAAATTTTCAGCTGCTGGTGAGGTAAACGTGTGATCCCTCAAAACCCATAATCCCCGCCCAGAACTCATACACAAATCATAAGTGAGATAAGTGGTCACTGTTTACCCAGTCTGTAACAAAGTAACAATAGACGTCAACATGAACTTGTAACAGAAGCGTCGCTCGTTCTCCGAGGGGTGGCGACCCAGGTTTGTATTTGTTTTATCATAGCACTCGGTACTCCTTGTCTGACACATTTAGTTTTATTGTCACTCTTGCATAAAAGCAGCAACAAAAGAAAAAAAACAACAGAGAAAGCAACAACAACAACTATAACTAGGTACCAGAAACAAAATGTTCAAAGTAGCTGTATGCCAAATTGATCTGTTCTATATGAACTTATATCTCTTGGGCATTTTGGTACCTCTCAGGCAATTTTTAAGAAAATGGTAGTTGTTTAAAATTTGACCAAATTTGTTAAAGTCACTCACAGGCTGCAACCCCATGTTTGACAGATAATAAAAGAGTACCAAGTGCACTAAACATCTCCACATTAACAGAATACAATCACTATAACATATGTATGGAGCCTAATTTTTTTCAAGACTGCGAGACCATTACAAATCAGTATTTTATCGCCTCAAACACGATAATCTGTCGTTATTTCTACAAAAACACAGAGTGTTGACCCGGCCGGCGCCGCACCGGCCCCCGCGGCGAGCGAGTCGGCTCTATACTGTAGTGTAACCCCCCCCCGTGTGGGGTCATATGCTTTCTGAGTTTCACGGAAGGATCGAAGCCAAATAATTCCAAGCTGATTATTTTATTCTAATAGGAAAAGAACTGATCTTTCTATTGGTGCCTTTTTTGAGTAGATATTTTATATAGGCCTATATTCCATGAAAAAAATTATCTTTGAAAATTTTGACGGTATTTTTAAAGGCTTTTTATTTAAATGATAAAGGCTAAAAATATACCACGGGAAAGCCCGTTCAAAGCTCTACAGTTTTACGCCAAAGAAAAGATGGTATTTAATCATCGATCTTTCCGCGAAGCTTTTGAATGCACGCTTGTCAATTTTTGAACAGGTCGACCACGCATTCCGACCGCGAGGGGCTTCGCTTTACAAACAACTTACACCAAGGAAAAGCTGAACTTTTACAAAGTGTCCAGCATTTAGTGTTTTATAGCGAAAGAGCAAAGAAACATCGATCTGAATGAGCCCGATTTCACCGATACCACGCGCTCGAAAGGCCATGAGTGCCCGCGAGGCCGTTTTTACGCTACCTGCTATAACAACAACAACAACAATGCGGCGAGCTCAGAAAGGGTTTGTTTTCTTCATCTTGATCAGTCCTGCCTGAGACAGCCACCTGTCTTATACGGCCACTTTTCTCCTTGACAATGGGAGATTGTCTTACACAGGTTCGACTGTACAGTCGAACATGTGTAAGACAGAATTGCAAGGGAGCCAGAGAAAAAAATTCTGTCTAAGACAGGGGAATTTAGGGGGGGGTCAAAGGCCCAGCCGGTGGGATCAATGATCCCTTGTCTGATCAGCAAGCAGTGGTCAAAACTTCACACAACTCTCAATTTCTATCCTCTCTGATAATGACATGTGTCAGTCTTACTTATCTAATTACCACCAGTGCTTGCCTTTCATAGGACCACTGTTTGACCTATTAAAAAACAGAAACGTTTGAACATCTCTTTTGCTTCCACCCTTAGGCCCACCCATCAGTGTAACAAGCACAGTCAACCAATGCCACCCCTCACTGCCATCATGTAACAACGATTCAATGAACTCTTTTCTCGGCTGGCCTTACCAGGGCGTCAAGCATTGGACAATTTAATTTCACACCTCTGGCTTCTGGCTACCCAGGAAAGTTTCCGTAGTGGCTACTCGAGTACTCTCACAAGCAGTCGTGAGATTTCACACCCACACCACCCTGACCATCAGCATCGCTCAGGGCTCACATGATGGGGTAACATCGAGGAGGTTTATACAGTAAGGTCCTTGGGTAACATCTACCCCCAAATTGCACCCCTACTCCCCTTCCTCGCCCAGCGGCATTTCAAGTTTTGTTTCAAATTAGGGCTGAGCAGGCAAAGCATTTTCCGTTTTAGACAGGTGAAACCCTTGGAAGGGAGCGGATTTTTCTTTCCGTTTCCGCGTTGGACAGGTTTCCGTTTTATACAGGTAATGAAAGAGGAATATATCAAGGGGGTAGCGGGGAGATTCTGTTAAGACAGGTTTCCGTTTTATACAGGTTTCCGTTAAGGCAGGTTCGACTGATAAAAGTATAAGGGAACAATTTGTAACATCTTTATAAAATATATCAAGTGGCAAAAGTTCTGTCATAGCAAGAGCAAACGAAATCATAAACCGGAAGTAGTATGTGAACAAAGTGTTGGTATTGATTTCTCTCGGTCGTTGATTTCAACACACAAAATTTGCTTTGAATCACTTAGACAATGTGTAAACACACCTTACACACTATAAAATTCCGTACTTTTTAACGGTTGAGTTGCTTTTTCACT